TATATATATACACCAATAATATGCAAATATTACAATAATGATAACTAATTAAGCTTAGTGATAGACAAAGAAGTCACTGTTGCACAAAATCATGACTATCATTTAACCCTCCCCGATTAGTCAAAAGGGTCCCAATCCAGAAGTTTTCATCATTGTTTTCATACACACATTAAGCGTGGGCACAGAACTTGTAGTATTGTTAATCACTTCCTGGATTGCCACGGGGCTGATCATTCATATTTGAAATTTATGCTGATTGATCAGCGTTGTGGTAATCTGTTGGAATGTGAAAACTTCTGGATTGGGACCCTTTTGACTAATCGGGGAGGGTTAAATGATAGTCATGATTTTGTGCAACAGTGACTTCTTTGTCTATCACTAAGCTTAATTAGTTATCATTATTGTAATATTTGCATATTATTGGTGTATATATATACGTTAGAAATTATTAGTAATATTATTTCTGAGGAAGGCTGAGACATTCAGTCGAAAATTAAAACTTTATTACTTTAGTACATTTTTAGTATTGGTTTCTCTCGGATCGTAGCCAGCTATTCTGTTGTATATATATATATATATATACTGTATATCTATATACTGTATATATATATATAGTATCAGTCTCAACTTTTCCTGTTCACTAAAAAATACTTACCTACGGTGATTAACATATATATATATATATATATATATATATATATATATATATATATATATATATATATATATATATATATATATATATATATATATATATATATATATATATATAAAACGTTAAAGTTTACATTCATTTTAAAGCGTAGCCATTCAGCTTTCTGACAGTGGGTTGTTTCTTAAATTTGACTCATTGGTTCGCGGGTAATAATACTTTACGTTATTGCGATTGGAGATTAAAAAAATTGAGATGGAATAACAAATCGTTCTCATGAAAATAACTGATTTTTTCATCAAAACAAAAAAATGTTGCATTTTATTAAATGGATTGTAACAATAAGTATAATTACGGCTTTTCTTCCACTATTTTTAACTCAGTTTGAAACTTCAAATGCGACATAATTTTGGCTTGGACCATCTAAGCTGACTGACATCAACTTGCTATAATTTCTGCTTACATTACATCGCAATTCGATGACACTCTGGCTCAGACACCAGAATGTTTTGACGATTTTTAGCATCCGTTTAGGATTTTCAAACAAGCTGGTCTCTTTTAAATACTTTTAATTTGTTCTTACGTGGTTTTCCAGATGTAGTGGCGACAACATTAAAGTTTAAAGAAGAAAATTCTAACATTTAAACCGACTAAACAATAACATAGTAAACTTGCATAATTAAACAGCAACTAAAAATTATAGGTTTTACTAAATAAAATCTTTTCCTGTGCAATTATTACCAGCATTGGAGACAAGGATAATAGTTTGTTTGAAAGAGAAAAGAACAGGCTTTGAAGTAAGCCTAAAAGCGTTTAACTAGAGATAGTATTTCGAAAGTTATTAAGCACAAAAGATGAATTGCGTTTATTTTGATACACCCTGTATATATATATATATATTTATCACATACTTGTACCTTTATCAGGTAGGAAGCAGCGGGACATAAAAACGATAT